GGTCCAATTGACACTTGAGAACAATTCAAGTGTCAAACAATGTGTCAAAAATTAGTGTACAAATAGCAAAGTTCAATGGGTAAGGACCTTGCTACACGTAAACTATGGTGTACACTTTAGAGTTTTCCCATCCAAACACTTGACAGCAATGCAAGTGTCGAACAACGTGTCAAAATCAGTGTACAATTAGCAAAGTTCAATCGGTAAGGACCTTGCTACATGTACACTATGGTGTACACATTAGTTTACACTTTGTAGCATGACATTACCCCGTTGGACAGTTTAAATTTCAAACAGTTTTTCCATCCAATTGACACTTGACAACAACGCAAGTATCAAACAACGTGTCAAAAATCAGTGTGTATATAGCAAAGTTCAATCAGTAAGGACCTTGCTACAAGTACACTAAGGTATACACTTTAGTTTACACTTTGCCACGTAACATTACCCTTTTGGACAGTTTAAATTTCGAACAATTTTCCCATCCAATTAAAGCTTGACAACAATGCAAGTGTCAAACAATGTGTCAAAAATTAATGTACAAATAGCAAAGGTCAATCGATAAGGACCTTGCTACATGTACTCTATGGTGTACACTCTAGTTTACACTTTGCAACGCGACATTAGCCTGTTAGAAAGTTTCAATTTCAAGTTATTTTTATATCCAATTGACACTTGACAACAATGCAAATGTCTTACAATGTGTCAAAAATCAGTGTACAAATAGAAATGTTCAATCGGTAAGGACCTTTCTACATGTAAACTATGGTGTACACATGTAAGTTTACACTGTACCACGTGACATTACCCTGCATGACAGTTTTAATTCCAAACTGTTTTCCCATCTAATTGATAGTTGACAACAATGCAAGTGTCAAACAACGCGTAAAAAATTAGTGTAGAAATAGCAAAGTCCAACTGGTAAGAACCTTGCTACACATACATTATGGTGTACACTTTAGCTTTCACATTGCGACCTGATATTACCCTGTTTAACAGTTTGAATTTCAAATAATTTTCCCATCTAATTGACACTTGACAACAATGCAAGTGTCAAACAACGTGTGAAAAATTAGTGTCCAGATAGTAAAGTTCAATCGGTAAGAACCTTGCTACATGTACACTATGGTGTACACTTTATTTTACACTTTGTAACGTGACATTACCATGTTGAACAGTTTAAATTTCAAATAGTTTTTCCATCCAATTGACACTTGACAACAATGCCAGTGTCAAACAACGTGTCAAAAATCAGTGTCATACAGCAAAGTTCCATAAGTAAGGACCTTGCTATATGTACACTATGGTGTACAATTTAGTTTACACTTTGCAACGTTTACTCGGTTGGACAGTTTATATTTGAAGTTATTTTTATATCCAATTGACACTTGACAACAATGCAAGTGTCTTACATTGTGTCAAAAATCAGGGCACAAAAAGCAAAGTTCAATCTGTAAGGACCTTGCTACATGTAAACTATGGTGTACACACCAAAGTTTACACTTTACCATGTGACAATACGCTGTTGGACAGTTTAAATTTCAAATAGTTTACCCATCTAATTGACACTTGACTACAATGCAAGTATCAAATGATGTGTCAAAAATCAGTGTACAAATAGCAAAGCTCAATCGGTAAGGACCTCGCTACATATACGCCATGGTGTACACTTTAGTTTACACTTTACAACGTGACATTATCCTGTTGGACAATTTAAATTTCAAACAATTTTCCCATCCAATTGACACTTGACAACAATGCAAGTGTTAAACAACGTGTCAACAATCAGTGCATATATAGCAAAGTTCAATAAGTAAGGACCTTACTACATGTAAACTATGGTGTACACTTTCGTTTACACTTTGCCACGTGATATTACCCTTTTGGACAGTTTAAATTTCAAACAATTTTCCCATCCAATTAAAACTTAACAACAATGCAAGTGTCAAACAACGTGTCAAAAATCAGTGTACAAATAGCAAAGGTCAATTGATAAGGACCTTGCTACATGTACACTATATTGTACACTTTAGTTTACACTTTCCAACGTGACATTACCCTGTTAGACAGTTTAAATTTCAAGCAGTTTTTCCTTCCAATTGACACTTGCGAACAATTCAAGTGTCAAAACAATGGTGTACACTTTAGTTTACACTTTGGAACGTGACATTACCATGTTGATCAGTTTAAATTTCAAACAGTTTTCTCATCCAGTTGACACTTGACAACAATGCCAGTGTCAAAAATTAGTGTACATATAGCAAAGCTCAATAAGTAAGGACCTTGCTACATGTACACTATGGTGTTCACTTTATTTTACACTTTACAACGTGACATTATCAAGTTGGACAGTTTATATTCCAAGTTATTTTTATATCCAATTGATACTTGACAACAATGCAAGTGTCTTACAATGTGTCAAAAATCAGTGTACAAATAGCAAAGTTCAATCGGTAAGGACCATGCTACATGTAAACTATGGTGTACAAACGTAAGTTTACACCTTACCATGTGACATTACCCTGCATGACATTTTAAATTTCAAATAGTTTTCCGATCTAATTGACACTTGACAACAATGCAAGTGTCAAACAACGTGTAAGAAATTAGTGTACAAATAGCAGAGTCCAAATGGTAAGAATCTTGCTACACGTACACTATGGTGTACACTTTAGATTACATTTTGCCACGTGATATTACACTGTTGAACAGTTTGAATTTCAAGCAGTTTTCCCATCCAATTGACACTTGACAACAATGCAAGTGTCAAACAACATGTGAAAAATCAGTGTCCAAATAGTAAAGTTCAATCGGTAGGAACCTTGCTACATGTACACTATGGTCTACACTTTAGTTTACACTTTACAATGTGACATTACCATGTTGAACAGTTTAAATTTCAAAT